CGCGGCCCCCAAGGCTCCCGGCTCCTCTGTCCCAACCCCAGCGGCGCCTCTGGGCCCTCCTTGGGCCCCCCCATCTCCCAGCGACTCCGGTAGCCTCGTCCCGGCCCAGGAAAAGGGCAGGGAGGGTGGCCGGGAAGGGCCCCTGTGCCAAGGGCAGCCTCCTAGGGCGGCACTCGAGGCTTTCAGGGAATCCTCCAGGAATAAAGGGAGATCAGTGTGTCCCTAAGGGGCGGCCATCACCACGGGGCCGCTCTCTGGGCTGGAGGCACCGTTCACGACCAGTCTTCTTATCACTTACCACATTTCAGGTCATTGTTCTGGGCAAGGGCATCCTGCGGCTCCGAGCACGAGAACAAAGAAAAATCTGGGACAGATCCTGTACTTAACTATCTCACCTTTTATTTTGTTCATTTACACTTCTGGCACTGACAATTCTTTGAAGATAGTTTCATGTAAAGACCAAACTTCAGGAAAGCAATCCGAACAGAAGTCAATTAACTAAGTTACAGCACTTATGTTTCAGAAAATGTACAACACTTCCATACATTACAGGCTCGAGTGGCTGCGGGAGGAAATGGCACAAACCTGATGTTGTTAAGGAATAACTCGAACGGACAATTTGACAACCGGTTTTGCCCAGACCTGCTTTGTGCGGAATAAAGTCCCATGGATCCGGGATCAGAGCCGGCCCCACGGCATCATGCGCCTGTTCCTATCCAATCCAAAGTCCTGCTACCAGTTTGGTCCCTGGTCATGTTGTAGATGTTCCACGCAGGGTTTATCCCGGGAAGATGGATTTGGTCCCCAGTCACGTTTCAGATGTTCCACGCAGGGATTATCCCGGGAAGATGGATTTGGTCCCCGGTCACGTTTCAGATGTTCCACGCAGGGTTTATCCCGGGAAGATGGATTTGGTCCCCAGTCATGTTTCAGGTGTTCCACGCAGGGATTATCCCGGGAAGATGCGGTTGGGGGCTTGCAGGAGGGAGAGATGCCAGAGGAAAAGCTGCCGTGTGGGCAGCGCAGCCCCCGCTCCGCCCGCATCCCGAGGCTCCATCCCGCATCCCAAGGCTSCATCCCGCAGGACGAGGGAAGTCCCGGTGGCGGTTGCACATTCACCCCCCTCCAAGGTCTGCAGACAGTTTAAGGCAGTGGAGAAATCGCCTCTATCGGGACCCGTCCCCAAGTCGTGTTTCATCTGTGAGCAACGCACGTTACGCACAGCCCTCACTCGGCGGCGCTCGCCTTGGATTTATTTGAATATTCGGAAACGTCAAACCAAATTTTGAAAAATTCCATCCAAAGGAAGCTGAGGGGTGTGAGTGAACCACGCACCACGTCATTCCGGTGTCACTTCCCTTCGGTGCAGTGTAAGGAGAGGGGGATTCCGACGGGCTCCAGATGCCGAGGGCCGGTTCGGGGCCAGCTCGCCCTGCCATGGATGGGCTGTATGGAAGGGGACACGGGAACCCCTTGGAGAAACGGGCGGGATGAACAACAGGCCGTTTGTCACGCGAGCAGGTCACGGCGGCTACAGCAGGTTCTCATACAGGGAACTCCGGAACACCATTAACACCCGCGTACAAAACACGACAGTAATGAGCATTGGCACATAAAAAACTCCTCCTCTATGTGAAAACATACACAAAATAGATAGTTCTCAGACTTGCAAAATCGATATAGAGTTGCCTTGAAGGAGTCTGACCCCCAGCAGCACAAACAACAACATTTGTTGAACAACGTTCACCTAGATTTTACTGTGCTGACGTTTTTGACACTGCCACAACGGAGACGCCGTGGCGGGCGATGCCGAGCTGCGCTGCAGGCRAGCCAGAAAAACCACGCCGAGTTCCGCGCGGGAAAGGGCGGCTTGGGAACCCCCCGAGGACAAGTCCGTCACTCGGCAGGCAGCGGCTACATGTAAGCTGTAAATGTTACCCGCAATAAAAACACATGTTGCCGTAAAGCACGCGCTGTGGGATGAGCTGCTTCTGGCCTGGTGCGCGCCGCTCCCGTGCTCCCAGCGCCGAGCAGGGGCGTTTGGATAGCCTGGCTCCCGAAAACGTGCCCGGACGGACAGCGTGGTCGGCGCAGGGTGCGGAGCGGAACTCGYCCTCCTCTCCGGCTGCTGTCCGAGGGCCGCGACGACTCTGCCCCTTCCTGGCCCAGCCCCTGAAACCCGCGCCTGGGGCGCTGCAAAGGGATTTCACAGGGAAAAACACATTCCCTTCCCAAGCTTTGGAGGGGGGACACCTGCCATGATGTGTGTCCGGCTGTCACCGCCGGACGCCGGGGCCCGGCTCCGCTCCGCCTTCCCAAGCGCCCCTGTTCCCGCCTCCGAAAACTGCCTTTGGGTCAGCAGCCGACACCGGGAAGGGACAGGCTGCAAATTACCTCAAATAAAAAACCCTTTAGAATTTCAAAMCGGGTAACAAACTACTAGAAGTGCATTAAATTACAAAGGTTAAAAATACATCCGGAATTGTTCCGTTCACGCTCGCTCTTGGACCAAGATAGCGAAGAGCATCGGGTGTAGGAAAATACCTGGGACTGTGGAACGTAACGGAGAGGCAAAACTCCTGGCCCGCTGTGGAAGCAGCTCTGCGAGCGCCGCGGCGCGCAGCAGACCCGGACGGAGGGTGCCGGCCGGCTCCACACCTCCCGCAGAAAGCTCCCATCCAAACCGTGTTGTGCTTAAGTACCCCGTTTATGCTACTTCAGGAACGAAAACCCTGTCGTAAGGAATTGTTCGGCTACATCGGACTTTCCGCCTTTGATCTGGAATGTTGGGAAGTCGACCTCTAGCAAAATCTCTTAAAACTTAAAATATGCAAAAAAATATAAAAAATCTGTTGCAAAATAGAAACATTTATTTAATTTTCTTCACGCACTAGAAATGTCCCCAGATCCTAAAAATAAAACCCTAATTGAGTAAGATTCATTTCAAGTATTGATTTGATCTCGTTTCTCTCGCACGTGACGCTCGGTGTTACCGGGTGTTCCTAAGGGCTGGAATGTTGTCTCTGGGAAAGCGGCCCTAAAAGGAAGAYGGAAGCCCAGCGGTTTGGGGTGGGAAGGAGGGAGCGAGGACGAGGAGCCGGTGCCTCTGGCACCCTGCACTCCAATGCAGCTTCATGCCCTGGCCTGAGCGCCCAAGGGCAGCCCCGGCGAGAGCCCGCTGCGCCCGTCCCGCTCCAGATCCCGCTTGGGCTGCGCCCACGGCSGCGGCTCCCGCTCCGGGACCTGCCCCAATCCGGCCCGGAGCCGGGTGCCAAATCCCGGCGTGCGAAACGCGGCTCCCTGCGCTGCTCCGGACCCTGCGGCTCTTCCCAACGAGGCCCTCAAAGACGGATCTTTACAACCTCCATAACCTGGACCCCCTGGACCCTGCGGCATCCTCGCACACCACGGGTATCCCTTGCTCCCAGCTCAGGCGCTGCCCTTCGGGAAGGCTTCCAAGGGGATCTGGCCCTACCGGAGACGCTCTGCAGCGGCTCTGGCGGGAGCTGCTTTCGGAGACCGGGACGTTTCCCACAGCTGCTGCTCGGGAGCACAAACCTGCCGTGCGCTTAAAGGAGAGGGTCGCTCTAGGGCTGCGGATCCGGCTCCCGCTGCGCTCCGGGCGCTCCGTGCTCCCCGCGGCATCCGCAGCTCCCTGGCCTACAACTTCCCCCTCTATTCCAGCCAAACTGCAGGGGGGGCTTTAAAAGGCTCCTTCGAAAAATATTTCTTCAATTAATCAAGTGAAAAAGACCCCAAACGCACCCCAATCACACACCCCCATCACTGAAGTTCAGTAATCAAACAGAGAAGTAACCYGCCCCGTGCAGCACAGTGCCAGGCTACACCACGTTTCACCATTGCAACAACAAGGAAATCCATATATTATCCCCGAAAAATAATTTGGTAACGAACGTCCCGTTTCCTTCTCATAGTACTTTTACATTCAAAGTGTTTTTCAGCCCAAGAAAAGCCCACCAATGGTAGCCACAAAAGCGAATGGACCCAATAATTTTTCACCTTTAAACAATGAAAATAACTATTTTTACCACAAAAATGGGGAACGGGCTATAGGCAGAGGGGGGTTTTCACATTCTTTCACAAAGAAATTATCTCAAAGGTAAGAGTTTGAATATCCAGTGCTTTCAAACTCACACCTCTGAAGAATTAAAGCAGTGAGGCAAGGAGAAAACACATCATATTTTATGCAGAAGCATAAAATTCAATTTCCAAGGCAAGTAATCATGGCAGGTGAGCAAACACCATAAAAAATTTTCATTGCCATGCTGAAGGCAGCCACCTTGATCTCTGTGCCTGGCATTTTCTTGACAACTTTGCAAGGCTCCCATAAGGCAATGAATAATGTGGGCTACAGGCTCCCGTGCAGGGCTAGTGTTTGCTGCTCAGATCCAGAAGCCCTCAGATCCAGAAGCCCATGGGCACCTGAAGGGACCACCTGCTGGATSCTGCTCACGTCAGCTGAGGGCAGCGTCATCGCTCGGGAGCGAAGGGCTCAAGAGGAGGGACCTCAAAACCTGCCCCTGTTTCTCGTGGCCCACCACACTTCACGTTCAGGACCAGGCACACCCCCAAATGCAAGAAAAGGGCGACAAAATTAATTGATTCCCAGCGAAGTGATGCCTCTGTTTGGCACTTGGCTCCCTGCTCCTCTGCACGGGTGGCCAGGTCTGGGTGCTGCTTTGCTGCTGCCCAGAGGTGATTTTGGCAGCTGCTCTCCCGGATGGCTCCTGCTGCGTGACCTGCCTTGGGACACCCTCACCCCACGCTGGGAGCACGGCCCTCTCCTCCTCATCCCACACCAACGTCTGTCAAAATTCCTGCAGCTTTTGTCAGTATGGAAGGTAAGGAGAAGCACTGACYGTCCCGGGGAGCCTTCCCTGCTCCCGGGGCACAGGGCACCTCGCACGGAGCAACAGCTCCCGCTTCCTTAGCTCACATCACCAGGGAATTTGCTCGTTTCTGGAAGCCATTGCTTTGAGTTATCAAGAAAACACCGGCACCTCGAGCTGCCTCCCGGAGGGAGCGCTTCCCAATACAAAGGCRTTTGGAACTAGACAGTAGAAAGGAGAACCAGACCAGAAGCAGGGCAGTGAGGTCACCAAAGAGCTGCTCTTCCCCCAGAAGGCTTTTAAATGATTAAATGCATCAGCAGCTGAAAATTATTCCACATCAGAAGCGTCGTTGTCAGAAAGATGGTAATTACTCCCCTTCACCCGAATGTACTCAATGTACCTCCCTTCATCAGACTCTGCCGTGCCACACGTACAGAGCCTGCTCTCAAACAGAGATTCAATTTCCTCCAGTTTCTTCCCTTTCGTCTCCGGAAGGCAGCCGTAGATGAAGACGAGTCCCAGGCCGGCAAATCCTGCGTAGAGGAAGAAAGCTCCTGCAAGAGAAAGCAGGGAGCAGGTTACGTCGCTTCCCACCCTTTCTGCTCCTGTGGAACAAAGGAAGGGCAAAAGCAGGAGGCTGCTCTTACAAAAGGCCTTTGATAGCTGGTGAAATCTGTATCATATCAGCAAAACACCGAACATTTTGATCACGGATGCAGGGGGAAGATTGCTTTATACATCACTTGGTCACAGAGCAAATTAACGGAAGCAATTTTGCTTCACCTGGAAGGTAAGATAGATCCTTTTCKGGAAAGTCATTCTGCTGTTAAAATAAACAGCAATTAAATCACTGCATGCCCACTGAYGAGAAAGGTGTCAACAGCAAGAACTTCTATCGTTCCTAACAGGAGAGGACACAACCCTCAAAAAAGACTCTCAAAAAAACTCTGATAGAAAGAAATAATCAGGAATAAAATAACGCTTGTGACTCCCCCACCTAATTACTATGTAAAATTCCTCTGCAAAGAAAATCAGCACTGAGATTAAGGCTGTTCCCCTGCATTGCTCTGCTTAGCTATGGACCTAGGGAAGGTCCCTGAGGAGTGTCCGGAGGGATGACTCAAAGGAACTGCCTGGCACGGCTGCTCAAGGCTCTGCACTGCACCAAGGGGCAGGTCACAGCAGCTCGGGCTCAGCTGGATGTAATTGAGAGCCTTGCACTGGAGTCTCTCCCCAGACTCCAGCAGCCAGGACTCAATCAGCAGCGCCTCCAAGAGCACGGCTATTTCTGCAAAGAACGTCTGCTAATGGCCTCAGGTGCCACTGCAAATGGAAAACTGCAGATGCTGCACTTCTTTTAAGTGGAAATGGGCATATTTCAGAAAGTTAAAAGCCTTTTTTCCATTTCCATGCTTTCAGCAAGGACAGAAAGAAATGGTTCTTACGAAAACAAGATGAAAATCTACGATCCAGGCAGGTCCTATCAGGTCTCTAGCCCCACTGTCCATGCCCRGCTTCTTTGCATTGGCAGCTGGAGTTTTCCAGAGCAAAACAAGGAAGGGGCCCAGGCTGTGAGGAAAAGCGAGGCCCCAGTGGACACGCTGCCCCCATGGCCGTGTTGCCCGCRGCCCCACGGCCTGTGGACACACTGCACTGTGCACCCGAGGCCTCCCTTACCGTAGTAGGTGAGGAACTCGGCCGTGTGCAGGAAGGTCAGCGACACGAGCACGTTGAAGAGCCAGTTGACGCCGGACGAGCAGGCGTTGCCGGTGCTCCGCGCCCACAGCGGGTAGATCTCCGAGTTCACGGTCCAGGGCATAGGGCCCATCCCTAGGAATGAGGAAAAAAAAGGATCAARCCTGGTTTAACACCCAGCCTCATGGCTCAATATTTTAATTCTGCGCTTTTTTAAACTTACTCTGGGAAAATAAACATTTGCTTACCAGGTGCAAAGAAAACCAGGTATAAAATAAGGCCCATAAGAGCTGTCCATGAGTATGGAGTGGGGCAGAAGTTGTACGCCCAAAATAAATCCTCCTTTTTGAACACGGTTTCGTTTGAGCACCTAGAAGAACAATATGAGAAGTGAGGCTGAACAATTTTCAGAAAAATCTGTGATATCTCAATACAGTACTTGGTGTCCTCAAAACCTGATAAAAGTGACTTCAAGATGAAAATAGATGCATCCCTGTTAGTTTATCATGATTTGAGCCCTGTTCTACATGCAGAGGTGTGCTTTACAAATGACTTTTTTGGCTGCACGACCTTAGGCACAGGAGCAGGTGGAACATCCCTGAACTTAAGCACTTGGCTGGTAGTGTCAGATCTCGTTCAAATGAACAGTTCCTGCCACACACGGGCAGTCCTTGCAAAACTGGTGAGACCATTCACACACTGAATATCACACAGTGCAAGGAGAGCTGCAGCAGCAGGACCCCGAGGTCAAGATGCCCCAAGCCTGAAGCATTTAGGTCGAGTGGAAGTTGGTCCTGAACTCATTGGTGTCACTTGAGGATTCATCAGTACTGCTCATGGAGTGGCCCAAGGTCAGGTGAACTTAGCAGGAAAGGAGGAGGACACTTTTCTTCACAAAAGCTTAGAATAAGCAAGTTCCACAGCTTAGAAGAAGGCAACGTTTCTAACTAGACAGTAAAAAGACGATGACAACCAGAACTAAACCAGGACAGGGCTATGAGACAGAAAGTGATTTTATTCCAAGGACTGTGTAGAAATTACAGGTTTCTAGAATAATAGATTCAAGACAAGTTATTCTCAGTCAACTGCCACCATTATAACATGTTTTAAAAGGACAATGACAACTTATTTCATGTAATAAATTTTATTATGTCAAGGGACAAGAGAAAGTAACTGTAACTCCAGTAATTTTTCAGCTGCAACAACTTCAGCTGCTACAGGTGAAAATGGGAGTATTTTCAGGAGAGAGGACACCAAAAACCGGAGCTTCAGRTAGACACCACCTTTTCTTAAGCAATGTTATTTATTTGAAGAGAAGAAAGCAAATCTGTCAGGGTTACGGTTTCCAGATTAGTTGAGTATTTATGTGAAGAATATGATCCTCTAATGTCAGACTGCAGGAAAACCAGAATGAAGTGGCCTAAAATGGGTGACAAATCATGGCTGGGTGACAAATACCGAGATGGCAGAGCATGACACACCTACCAGCAGACCCGTCACCACTACAAAAGTTGGCTTTCAAAAGCATATTCCAATATATTCCATATATTCCAATATTTTTCTCCTCTGATTTAGGAAACAGCCACCCAACCGCAGGCTGGCAATGAATGCTATTAAGCAGCAGGAGTCTCTTCTCAGGTTGGAGTCTTCCTTTTCTTGGCATGAAGGGATCAACAGCCATGGAAAGCAGAACATCACCGGGAAGTTCCAAACAGACTCAAATCCAGCGTCAGGACACCCGGATGGCCAAAATTCAAATACACTCAGAAGGCAGAGGGACAGAGAGAACTTTTAATCCAGTGAATCCTGGGAAAAGGCACATGTGAAACCACTGCCAAACCCTAACACTGGCTTTAGCTGAGGGGAGCCCCAAGACTGTAAGTGCCACATTGTGACTGGCCATGCAGAGCCTCAGGAATCGGAGACACCAAAGGCTCCAGTCTGGAAAGGATTCTGCCCCTTCTTTCAGCCAAGGAGCCTGCTGCCATCCCTGCTGTTTCTTCCTCTTGCTTCTAAAATCGCTGCAAGGTCCTTCTTATGTCACTTTGCTGGTCCGTGGCTTAGCTCAGCATCACCTCTGACAGCTGGGCAGGGATGAGTCCTTATCAGTGTGAACCCTGAGCGACTTGCCCGGCGCCGCGGGTCCCTCGGTGCACACGGGGAAATCCGAGCGCGGTCACAAACGCGCTGCTGTGYCACGCTGAACTGACAGCTTCGGAACTACTCTTTGCTCAAATGCACAATTCTTTTCRTGCTAAGGAAATGGTGCTCAAAACATTTGTTTCTTAACACCGGGTGGCACAAAGAGCTCCTCCACTCACCTGTGTGGAGCCGCGTGCTTTGCCTTTGCCGTGCTGGGAGATCACAGGGTCCTCAGCGTCCCACGCTTTCTACAGCTGCCCGTTTGCTTCCTCCCCTGTTGCTCCARTTCCTCTGCAGGTGTCTGCTCGTGAATCCAAGCTGATTATCATTTCAAGATGTCTGGATGCTGAAATGGGTTTCCCTGTTGTGTCCAAGCTGGATCAGCAGCTCCCTCGGAGAGGAGCCTAGTGCTTTTTCTCATTTTTTACAGTAAATAAAGATGTACTCAGGTTATTAACTTGTATCTCTCTCGCTAACTAACCAGCCTGCTGATTCAGACACAGGCGCCAGGCGGTCTGGGTGCTTCTCTCCCCTCCCTGCTCTCCCCAGCATGTCCCGCTATGGGCAGAGTGGAACACAGGCTCCAGGAGGGATGAGCAGATGTCTCAAAAGGCTCCTGTTGCTGCAGCCCCCGAGCTGCTYGCCGTGGTCTGTCAGGAACCGAGCTGGAATTCTGCTCCAAGGAAGCAGACTCATGGACAAACGCCACATCCAGGAGAGGAAGAGCACCCGAGACCCGACCCAGTGCAAGCCCTGCAGGAACGAACCTCTGGGCTTTGCTTATCCCTCAGCAGCGTGGGGCACTGACGAGGAGCAAAGACACCTGCTTTGCTGGAGCCTTGTGCTTCTGGATAGCCACAGAAATAACACTCCAGGACCACGTGCCTAGATGTTCAAGCACAGTTTCTGTACAATTCTRCTGCTATTATCCTATTTCTACCAAATATATTATTTTGCTAAAGGATATACTATTAAGTACCGCATAACATTCCGAATTTGATCCTGCCTGAAGGAAATAACTATGCTTGGGAAATGTATAAGCAGCTACCAAGCTCTTCAGAAGAATTTGGTAGATAAAATTCCATGTAAATAACTTAATAAGTAGTCAGGAATCAACACAAAGAAATTGTAAATAAGAATGTGCTGGGTAATTGTCATATTGGTATAAACTGCCAAGACCTACCTAATTTCTTCTGAATTTATTCCAAAGTGAAAACATACTAGTATTATATTAAAACCCTTTAACATGAGTTTCTTTCATTATATGTTTTCAACAGGTCGTTTACAAAGCAATTTTGCTCTAATTAATGAAAACCAAAYGTTGGCAAGAGGAGCCACTTTTAGCAGCTGATCTGAAGAATTCTGCTAAGTGTAAATGTATCAGAACAGCTGTACATAATAACACATAATGCATTATTATATATTTCATTTCATCATCCAGAGCCCATCCCTCACCGCTTAACAGTSTGCAGTGACAAGCCCCAAAGGTCTGCTCACCACCCCTTCAAAATACCATTTATAGTGGATTAAAAACCAGGCTTTTCTACGTCATCTGAACGTTACTGTTAACAAGAACAGCAGGAAACAGGATAAGGCCTTTTCCTGGATAATCAAAATAAATTTTCCCTAACACCGGAGCCAATTTGGCCGTAGAACAATTTTTGAGTGCCATGCTGGAAACAGCAAACTAGGGCAATCATTGGGCTGGACACAGCAAACACCAAGTTAGCCAGCACACGGAASGGACCTGATTTTCTAATTTTCTGCTGATTTTTTCTCAAATTTCTGCTAATTTTTGCTTTGCTGTCGAGTGAGGAATGTGTGGCTTTAAAGATAGGGCTGCTGTGGCAATTAAATGTTTCATCCTGAACAGTTCATATATTTTTAATATGAAACCTGCTGGCTTCTCATTGTCATTTAAGCCCTTCAGACACATCCTGAATGGATTTAAATGAAAAATGCTAAAAGGTCAAAAACTCAGATCAAGTCAGTCTAAGGAAATAAATTACATCTAAGGAAAATCACTAATCTTATCACTTATGTCCTTAAAATGCTTGATAGAATATGCATATCTCAGAATTATGTCTTCTTCTCTGCGAGGAAATTTAACAGCAGGTTCTGCTGGTATGCAAAGATTTTACATTTAATTCACAGTTTTACACTGATCCCCTATTGCTTTGTTCCAACAAGGGTAGAGCTACTCAAGGACTGTTATTAAGCCAAACTTCTGTGTCTGGGTTATAAAGACGATGATTATTGACAATTTCCAACTCCGTCCCCAAAGTAACACAAATTTTTAGGTTTAAAGAAATCTCCTGGTGTAACAAGGTCCCCCTAAGGATGGAGGGCCCAGAAGAGCTGCTCAACAGCAGTTGCTGCTTGGTCTRAGAAGAGTTTGGTGGGAGATGCTTGGGAACACCTAATAAAAGTATCTATCCATGAGCAATTAAAGAGTCTGTTCCTTGATTGTGGGGTTAGTTTGCACAATCGAAGTCAGCCCTTCCAGCTAAAAATACTTTATTCTCTGTTGTGCTGCTGTGTCACAAAATCTATTTCAGGGGTCTGAACTGTCTTGAAATTATTTAAAGGAGAGAATTTAATGAGGAACAATTTAGCTGGCTAATAATCCAGGGATAACGAGACATCCAGCTGAAGGGAACTTTGACAAGTGCAAACCTGTGTCTCTGCACTAARCACACCGGGTTGCCTGTTTTCCATCAACATTTTTCACGGACAAGAAGCTTCCTCTCCTTGTCCAGCTTTTCCCACCCACTGGAGTAAGCCACAGTCACAATATTATCCACGCAAACGCCAAGGCTCTGCCAGTCTCATTGGGACAGACACCCACTGCTCCCTTTACTGATGACTTCTTGTACGTATTCCGTGTAACAACCCCATAAAATTCCAGCTTTTCCAAGCCAAGAGGGAGTTTGAAGACCGCTTCATTATTTAAAGTGTTCCGAGCTTAAAAAACAGAACAAACAAACCGAGTTTTTCTGCTAATACTCCAACCTTTCACCTCTTGGTTTGCAGACTCACRAAGGTTTCTCTTTTGTACAGCACCTGAAGTTTGCTGGCTACGTGGCTTCTGAGCACAGATTCTTCTAAATCATTGTTTATTTAGCCCGTGTTGTTAAGCTTACACAGTGACAGGGTTCTTCAAGCTGATGATAATGCAAAATGGTAGTGTTGGTTCCTGAGGGCTCTTCAAATACGAATCAATATTTC